CTTTTCAATTCCTCCCTAACTATATATCCAGGAGTACATCTCTTCACCCCTAGTATCCATCTCAAATATTTTTCTTCTAAAGCTTCTATTTCTTTCCATTCCTTATAACCTCATATCTCCACTCCATACAAAAGTATTCCTTTCACAATACTGTCAAACAGCTTCAGTCTCCATCTTACGCGTCCCCCTTGAACTTTCTCTCCCCGTAACTCCACACCCATCCCATAGCCACCCTCGCTTTTCTAATTCTATCTCTCACGTGTTCCATTTCCCCTCCGTATCTTGACACCCAATATCCTAGATATTTATATTCCTTTACCTCCTCTAGTCTTTCCTTTCCCCACCACCAGTACCTTTCTTTCTCCCTTCCCCCTTTCTTTCTAAACACCATAACTTTCGACTTTTCAGGGCTCAGCTCTAGTTTCTTCTCTTTTAAATACCTTTGTATCCCTCTTATCATCGCCCTTAAGCCTACTTCTTCCTCCGCCACTACCACAATGTCGTCGGCATATTCTAGCGACCACACCTTATCGCCTCCCACTCTTATTCCTCCTATTCCTTTTCTTAATTCCTCCTCTAAATCCGCGATATATATATTAAAAAGAGTTGGACTCAAGGGACACCCCTGTCTTACCCCTTTTTTTACCCAAAATTCCTTTGAGACTTCCCCCCTATCCTTACCACGCATCTTGTCTCCTCATATATTTCTTTTACTCTTTCTATCAGTACATCACTGATACCCCTTCTCCTCGTCATTTCCCATAATACCTTCCTATCTATTTTATCAAACGCTCCTTTTAGGTCCATAAAAAATGCCCACACCTTCTTCTTCTCCTTTAGTCTTCTTCCTACTAGGTGTTTTAAGATTTTTATGTTTTCTATTGTTCCTCTTCCTTTTCTAAATCCTGCCTGCGTTCTGCCCCATCCTCCTTTCTCGTCTAGCTCTTTCACCAACTTTTTATTTAGAATGTTCGCATATATCTTATACGCAGTGCTTGTAAGCGTGACACCCCTGTAATTCCCTACCACATTTTTATCCCCTTTTTTCGGAACTACCACTCCTATTCTCCATTTTTCTGGGAATCCCTCTCCTTCCCAAATCTTTCTATAAATTTCCTCTAACTTTACCCTTACTTTACCTCCCCCCATCATCCATGCTTCATTTCTTATCCCATCAATCCCTGCCGCCTTACCCTTCTTTAATCTTTTTATTTCTAATCTTATTTCCTCTCGACTTATCCCTTCGTCTTTTCTAACTTCATTCAGTCTTTCTCCTTTTTCTACCGTTTTCTCGTCAACTCCCTCTAATGCTGTCTTAAAATACTCTACCCACTCCGTCCTTTTAATTTCCTTACTTATTCCCTCCTTTTTCTTCCTTCTCCTATTTATAAATTCCCATGCCTGTGCTTCTGTTGTTATCTTTTCTATCTCTCTCTCCTCAAGCTTCTTATGCTCTACTTCTTTCTTTTCACATATATCTCTATATTCCCTTCTCTTTTTCACAAACTCCTCATATCCCGTCTTCCTTCTCCTATATCTTCTCCCCGCCCTATTAACCTCTCTCTTTTTCTCCCTACACTCTCTATCCCACCATGGTACCCATCCTACCTCTTTCCTTCCCCCTCTCCTCTTCATTTTAGGTGCTCTTTTCATTACTTCTTCCATTTCTTCCCATCGTCCTTCCCCCTCTCCTTTTTCCCACTCTACGTCCTCTATATTTTTCCTAAATATTTCTATGCCCTCCTCTGACCAATCCTGTATCATCTCTGCCTCGCTCTCTTTTTCCTTCTCCTGCCTTGTATATTCCTTTCCTAACTCTATCATTATTGGCTGGTGATCTGATTCTGCCCTGCACCCTATTTCAAAACATCTAATTTTCTCTTCTGCCTCCAAATTTACAATTCCATAATCTATCACTGATTTCCCTCCCGCTTTTTCAAACGTCCACTCTCCTTCTTCATCCCCTTTTTTCCACCCATTCAGTATCAACCAACCTCTTTCTCCCACTACCTTCACCAGCTCACACCCTTGTTTATTTAACACTCCATCTTTCGACCTCCGTTCTTTGCCATTTTCTCCTTTTTCTTCGCCATTTTGGTCACAAAAACCCCCTTCCTTACCAATTCTTGCATTAAAGTCTCCTACTATTATCATATTTTCTTCTTCCCTCTCTCCTATCATCTCTTTTAATCTATCTAATTCTTCCTTACTTCCCTCTTTGTTATATAATGTAACAATTCTCCACCTCTCCTCATCTACAACAACCTCTCTCTGCTGTATCCCTTCTACTTCCTCTTCACTTCTACTTCTTTCCTCTATTTCCTTCCTTATCCCCGTTATTATCCCTCCCATCGCTCTCCCTCTTTTCTTTTCCCTCCTCGCTGGCTGACATTTCCATCTCCACCCATCTGGCATTTTTTCTTTTATCTTCCCCCACCCAGCTTCTTCCACCCATGTCTCACTCAAACCAATCACATCGAAATCTTTCAGAAAATCCCAAAAATCCTCGTCTTTTCTCTTTAATCCTGCGATGTTCCAGAATACCCCTTTTATACTTCGTTTCTCTCCCTCTTCCGTTGCTTTTCCCTTCTGTTTCCCCCCCTTTCTCTTTTTAACCCAATTGTGAGCACGCTTGCTTAAAAAATCTTTTCATTCATACACTTGCGCTCTTCACTCCACACATATTCTTTACCATTCATCCACGCTTTCCCAAAGCCCACTTTTACTCGCCTACCTCTCTCTTTCTCTCTCTTCGCCCAAAATCTAATCTCCTTCTGTCTTTCTCTTTCATCCTTCGTTAGATCATCGTCTACATATATTTTCGTACCTGTCAATTTATTTCTCCTAATCATGATCTCCTTTTTATCATCCAAACTATTAAGTTTCACAAGCAGCACACTCTCATTCGTTCTATCATTCATTCTATCATTCATTCTATTCCCTATCTTGTAAACTTCTCTTATTTTAATTTCTTTATCTAACCCCCCTAATTTTTTCAAAACCCCTACAGCAGCATCTTTCATATTTCCCCCCTCTACCTCTACACCCCGCATAACTACATTTAGTCTTCTATCTCTTCTTTCTTGATCATCTCTTCTTTTTTCTATTTCTTCCACTCTTTTCTTCAAATCTGCATTTTCTTCTTTCAACTTCTCCATCTTTTCCCTTTCCTCCTCCTTAAATTTCTCAAATTCTGTTTTTATTTGCTTCATCTCTTCTTTTAATTCTCTTCTTATCATCTTCATCATATCATCCTTATGCCGCTGCAGTTGTCTCTCCATCATTTTTTCTATCTCCTCTAAATTCGCCATTTTCTTCTCCTCTGAATCTCCCTGCTGTTCTGGCGATTTTCCTGCCTTTCCTTCCTTCTTTCGTTTCGCGGCTTGCTGTTCGTCTTCACTTTCTTCCGACTCACGCGCTCTGCCCCTTCTCGAGAACCACGAGCTTGGAATGCTCACTACACTACTATCCCTCCTTTCCCTTCCTAGCAGCTCCGCTTTCGTGGGCCTTCCTCTCTTCCCCGCTCCCTTCTCTCCACTCGTATTTCGCCTCTGACGTTCACCGCCGTTGCCTTCCTTCGATCTTGTTCCCCACTCCTCCCCTGACTGTACCCACCTTTCCGCTCGGCTACTTCTAGACTCTTCCGTTGCTAGGCAGGTTCCTTCTCTCTCTTTCTCCAAACTCTCGCTCATTCCCCCCTCCCGAGACGCGCTCGCGCTTCGTGACGTTCTGCTTTCCTTCCGTCACTTCCCTTTTCTTCGCACTTGCGCACCACGGTTTTTCTGCCACGTGCGCCGGGCCTAATTACTTTTTCCCTTCCGACTTATGCAAGGCTCACCCACTGCACTCCTGTCCCCTAATGACCACTCCTTATCTTATGCACCCAATACAGGCTTTCAGGCTACCTGGACCACGATGCTCTCGGTTGAAGACCTATGCCAGTTGTAGGTTATGTTCCCCTTGTTCCGTCTACTTTAACCACCATTAGCCCGTTTCCTGATGAAGCGAGCTACTTTTTTGCCTAGCTCTCGATTTAACGACTCTCGTCCCTATAACAAAAACTCCCCGCAGGGCAATTCCTTAACAGCTACGAAATCTTTAATTTCCTCACGAAGTGCGCAAAATATGTCTTCTCTGTAACTCACCTCGACCGGAAGTCCTTTTTGATTTGTACTAGATAATGCAAATTATCTAGTACAATTAATACAATCTTTTGTTCTATTGTATATGGTAAAAAATAGACGTTATTTTTTAATTCTTTTGTTAATAATTTTTTAACAAATGGCGATCTAAAACCTGTTGGAGGTTATTCAGGGTCATGACATTGATAACATACTACTGTGATCAAAAAGTAAGGTGAATTTTTAATTTAAACTTCCCGCGCTAATCGATTCGAGCAAACTTTTTTATTTTTATGTTGGTACTACTGTTAGTGACGTCTGTGACAAATTTCATGTCAATGTCATCATTAGTCATATAGTTACGCTTGTGTTTTCTAAACGACTAAAAGTGATTTTGGCGATTTTTACAATGTCTGATTTTGCTGAGCAAAGAAGTGCCATTAAATTTTGTTTGCGGAATGAAATTTCGGCTGCGGAAACGTTCAGAATGTTGCAGAGGGCCTTCGGAGAATCGACTATGTCGCAGAAAAATGTTTATAAGTGGTACAAAGACTTCAAAGAAGGCAGAGAACGTACTGATGACTTGGAACGCCCCGGACGACTATCAACGTCAATTGATGAGCAACACGTGAAGAAAATCAAGGAATTGGTGCTCGAAAATCGTCGATTGACAATTAGAGACCTTGTCGATATGGTTGGCATTTCATTTGGTTCAGTTCAAACAATTTTGAAGGATCACTTGGGCCTTAGAAAAGTAAAATCTCGTTTGGTGCCAAAAACACTCAATTTCTTCGAAAAAGAGCGTCGCGTTAAAGTTTGTAAAGAGATGATTTGTGACTATCAGGACGTCTACGAACGCATTATTACGGGAGATGAGACTTGGATCTATGCTTATGATCCGGTCCGCCAAAGTCGCTCAAAAATCAAGGTTATGCTGACAGTTTTCTTCGACTATCGTGGTGTTGTGCATTATGAGTTCCTTCCGCCGGGCCAAACTGTCAACAAGAAATATTATTTGAGTGTTATGCGTCGTTTGCGTGAAGCTATTCGCAAGAAGAGGCCGGATTTATGGAAAGACAATTCCTGGTTTTTGCATCACGATAATGCGCCGTCTCACACGGCATTGATTCTTCGTGAGTTTTTCGCCAAAAATTCCACTCATATCGTTCCGCAACCGCCTTATTCACCTGACTTAGCTCCGTGTGACTTTTGGCTATTTCCCAAACTCAAAAGACCGCTCCGGGGACACCGCTTTGAATCTATTGAAGAGATTCAACGTGAATCGCTGCGCGCTTTGAAGGCTATACCGGGAAACGACTTTTTGGCATGCTTCGAGGCATGGAAAAAACGTTGGCATAAGTGCATTGTATCGGAGGGGGATTACTTTGAAGGGGATCAAATTGATTTGGATGAATAAATAAAGATTTTTTATTTTATAACAAAATTCACCTTACTTTTTGATCACAGTAGTATGTCAAGGTCAAAATTATCGGCCAGATTTAACCTTTTTGCAATAATTACTATACGAGTATATGTATACAGGATATAACAGAGCGACCGTATCAGGCTAATCTCTTGAAAAATATGCATTTTTTTGAAAAATGTTTTAGACAAAAGTTTTTCGATTTTAAGGGGGACATAATATGGTATATCATTGGTTAGATTTTAGATGGAGTTATCAAGATTAGGGCAGAGGCACGTAAAACTTTTTAAACGGAACCCCCCTTTTTCATTCAAAATTCTTGTAGCTTATCTCAAGAGCTTTCCAAAATACTATAATCAAATATTTTTCCATTAAGTACTTTTTAAGTTCTTAATGGACTTACAATACCGTTAGTATTAAGATTACGCAAAACGTCCGACCGACAGTTAAAATCTTTTGAATGTTGTTCAGGATCATGTCTTGGATAACATTTGTTAGGCTTAAGTTCATTGGAGATTGTTTCTCTTTCTCTTATTTTCAATTTTGCACTGAAAATTTATTTTTGTAAAATTGGAAATAAATCTAACCAATGATACCATATTATGTCCCCCTTAAAATCAAAAAACTTTTATCTGAAACATTTTTCGAAGAAAATGTTTATGTTATTCGTTTTGTTATATTCACACGAAAATTAAGAATTTTCTGTGCATCCGAACAGCTGATGTGAGCTCTGATGCTTTTTTACATTTTTTACTGATAGATTCTTTCGAACCTCATTTTATATATTTATTTATCTATACGCTACCTGAAATGACGCATTACACTAAATATGAATTTTTTAATTATATTAATATAATTTTTGGTTATTACATTGTTACTTTGTTAAAGAATTGGATCAAACTTAACAAGGAAACAATCTTAGTCAATCTAAGACTAGAATTTTTATGCGATTGTAAGAATCATGGATTCTAGTCAGCATATTTAAATCACAATCATTTCTTTAAACAAAAATTTCACTGTTACAAATACAAACGAAGAGCACTCAATAATATTAACAAACATTACTGAACAAACATTACTGAAATTAGAAATTACAGATGAGTTTAAATACCGCAGAACTCTTTATTATAGATTATGTTATTGTGTTTAGAGAAAAAATTGATTGAAATCATCTTCCGCTCAACATTTGTAACAAATGCTTTAGCACATAATACAATGTTTTTCATAGATTTGTAAGGAGTAAATCTTGGAGATTAAACAAAAAATATTTATTATATAAAATTATTATTATTATTATATAATTTACAAAAAAGATATGGATGTGATAAAGAAAAAATAAAGGATATTACTTATTACGTAGTAGACAATATTGCAAAGACTAATTTGCCTGACGTTGTTAGCAATAATTCTCATAAAAAATTTTAGTTCCAAGAACCGAAGAATAAAAACAGAAACAACGAAATGATTAAAGTGAATCTTTCTGCTTCCCAATTTAAACAGATTTCATATAATATCTTTGAAGTAAATGACAAATGGTTCAAAAATCTCAGCAATGTTATTATACCATAGGAAGTCAAAGCATTGTTACAATTAAGTGAGAATTTCTGCTTGTCAATGTTCAACATTAGAAACATCATGATTGAATTTGTCAAACACATCGAACATAATTTTGTCAGATTAAAATTACGCAATATTAGAGAATTTAGGAATAGAATTTTTCTTTTACTCAATGGGATAAAGCAAGCATGTGCTAATAAGACTGACATAGAGAAGAGAATTTTTTCTTTAATCAGGACTACGAAATCATTTGTTAAAAACAATTCACATATTCTTTTTACAAGGATAGGGGTAATGTGGTTGTGGTACTTGACAAGACGGAATATGTACAAAAAATGGAAACTTTACTGTCTGATACTGAGACTTATAAGTTAATTATTAAAATTTTTTTAAATTATGGCCTATTTCTATCGAATTAATGAAATTACTGAAGAAAATAGTAATTAAGTTTATTACACAAATTTTAAATAAATTTTATTACAATATAACAAGTGTATTCTCATTATGACATTGTTCAATTGAAAAAGTCGTACGAAAATGTTACGAGGCCAAATCAATAAGTTCTTAGAAAATCTGTTAGAGAGAGCACTCGCAGTGTCATGTCACATTATTTTTTGACAAGTAGCATCTTTCAGCTGATTATCAAATTTTGAGCGGAATTTATCGCGTGGTTTCATTACTGTAGACGATTAAAGCGAACAACATTTGTATTTTTTGCAAAATGGAAAAAAACGAATGTCATGCAGTGATCAAACATCTACATATGAAAATTTTAACGCCGGAAGAAATCAAAGCCGAGTTGGATAACATCGTAGTACATCTGCACCAGCGTTTGTGACTGTATACAATTGGGTGAATGAATTTAAACGTGGTCATACATCCACATGTGATGCACCTCGTTCGGGACGTCCAATTGAGACTGCTACGCCAGAAATCATCGATAAAATCCACGATATTATTTTGATTGATCAACGAGTGAAAGTGCGCGAGCTTGTTGAGGCCACAGGCGTATCACATGGCACAGTGATTTTGCACGAACAATTGGGTATGAAAAAGCTATCGGCAAGATAGGTGCCGCGTTTGCTCACTGTGAACCATAAGCGCGATCGTGTGACGATTTCAAAACAATGTTTGGAGATGTTTCCAGATGAACGTAATCCAGATGAATTTCTGCGTCGATTCATTACTGTGGACGAAACATGGATCCATTACTTCACACCCGAGACGAAGGAACAATCAAAACAATGGACTTCACCGGGTGAACCAGAAGAAGGCGAAGACCATGAATTCGGGCGGAAAGGTGATGGCCACAGTTTTTTAGGATGCACGAGATATAATTCATATCAATTACCTTCCGTCGAAGCAAACGATCAATGACGATTACTACGCAGCCTTGTTGTTTCAACCTTATACCGTTTCAACAATATTTTAAAGAAAAAACGTCCCCATTTGGCGAAGAAGAAAGTGCTCTTCCATCAAGACAATGCACGGATTCACACGTGCCCGGCACCGATGGCCAAATTCAACGAATTCTGTTACGAATTGCTTCCTCATCCAGCATATTCGCCAGATTTAGCCCCCTACGACTATT